AAGTACAAACCTTTTTATCTAGCGAATTAGCGATAATATTTTTGAACACATCCCTCGAGAGAAAATGATTATATGCAATTATATATTATTTATTAAAAATAATATATGATTGTATGTAAATTATATATAATTATATATGACTCACATATACATACGCTTTATCTCTATACAGCCATATATAATCATATATAATTACACATATCTACACGAACAAAAGATTGAACGAAGGAAAAGAGAAAAATGGTTCTATTCAATAAAACGTCGGCATCACGGTCTGTCACAACCAAAAGCGGTTGCCTTAATTTAATCTTTTACAATAGCACTTTTTTCGCCGTCGACATATATAATTATATATGATTATATGTGGCCGTGTGTGGAGATAAAATTCGTATATAATCATTTCTTGCCGGGACGGAGACGAGATCCACGTAGATCCGCCGACAAAATCACACAGCCGTCATTTCTCTTTCGGGATTCCTCTGCGTGACACACGGTGTATGTACCTGTGCGTTCTCGCGTACGAATCCGTACAAACATCCACGTACTCGTGTTTGAAAGCTCGGGGCGAAGCTCGTCGCTGGAGGAACGGAAAGAGAGGGGAACAACACCGGTGGCAGAAGTGGCGGCGCGGAGCTCTTGAAACATTTACGGCTATTCCTGGCGTCTGGCTAGAGGCAGATGGCCCGCACGGTGTTAGTGAACGCTACCGGGAGGAATCGATCCTACGTTCAGGGATCGATCGGAAGCCCGCGGTCCAGCTCGGACGAAAAACGCACTGCATACAGTCAAATGCTCGACGGGCGTTTCCTCGATGAGTTTCGCAACGTATCTCGTATATTTAATAGGAGAATTTCATATTTAGTTATTGTTAGAAGGTACATTTCCCTGACTGAAGTAAATTAATAAATTTCTCAGTACATGTTTAACAAAATCTTCTTTTTAATAATTCTCAGGAGATATATTTCTTTAATTAATAAATTAATTAATCAATTTCTAAGTAAATTTTTTTTAGTAATTCTTGGGAGATATATTTTCCTAATTGAAATAATAAATTTCTAAATAAGTTTTTAAGAGATTTTTTTTATTAATTCGTAGGAGATACTATTTTCCTGTTGGATATGCGATACGTTGTGAAACTCACCAAAATGAAACTTATGCATTAAGGCTCTCAGATATTCAATCAACACAAAATTAATTTCTGCTGATAAGAGTCATGAAATTATTATTCTACTGACGTTCCTTTAGCTCTTATTAGTCAAAATTAATTCCTGTTGATTGAAAGTGTTGTAATCTTTAGGACCGATTTTTCAATAGTAGTTTAAATTCTGTTCGAACATGTCAAATATGTTTTTTTGCAACAGAATTTTAACTTAAATCTGACTTCGACATTGAAAAATCGGCTTTTAAGCATTCAGCTGTAAGCATGCGCAGTTTTTGATCGTGCTCGTCCAACCTCACTACCCGATTTCTGAAAGACGTGGAATTATATCTATAAATAGAAAGCGCGTATCTTTGTTGATGAAGTCGAGATGAATTTTGACAATCGATCTTCTTGCGCCGCGCCCCGACATCGGTATGCCGATGCGCGATCGGCGAAGTACCTACCATGCCCGTCGAATTTCCTGCATCGGCGCGCAGCCATCCCGAGGTGCCACGTGCCTCGCATCTGTGCCGTCTCCCGAAAAAGAGCGAGGCGAGACGCCCACGACGAGCGACAATAAACTCGATCGATTTCCGTCGAGGGCCTCTCGCGAGATACAACGGGCTGTTTGTACGCGAGGATGAGATTACGCGAGGATGTTTAAAGATCCGCGAAAAGAAAGAAAGTTTCTTCGTTGTTCGCGAGGAAAAGAGAGAGTTTGATTGAATTCAGTCTTTCCTCTCACAGCCTCTTCCATCTGTGCGTTTCGAGCAGCTCGGAAGTGGCACTGAATATAAAAAAAAATCATGTAAATATTTATTTATTTATCTAGTTTACATTATCTAGTTTACATATAGGAGAAGAGATCCTTTTTTGATATATTAAAACGCACAAAGCAACTCTACGTTAACGCATAAATACAATACAGATTATAGAGCAAAACAGATTATAGAAATATCACTACAGTAAATTGTAAAGAAGGAGATAAGTTTGAAATGTAAACATAACGTAAGAGTAATTACAAGCAAAGAGAAACAATGAAAGGTGAAATACCGGAAACTTGAGAAAATTTTTTTTATAATAGAAACTCTTTTTTATAATAGAAATGTGAAGGTAAAAAACATATGATAACAAACAATAACATTATTAATATCTGGACAAAGTCTGTACAGTCAGGCGATTAAATGTTGTGTGTGAGGCTTTTCATTAATAAATTTCGTAACGTATTCTGCATTCAATAAGAAAATTTGTTCTTAATACTTCTCAGGTGATACATTTTCCTATTGAATAAGAGATGAGTTTGAAAACTCATCGAGAAGGAGCGCCGAAAGCTCTAATTATCTGGCTGAATTATCAGTTAAGGCCAAGAGATATACTGATTTTCGGGATTAAAGAGAAGATTCGATTCTTTGGCACAACTCGCAACCTTTGGCTCACGCATATTTTCATGGTTTGTGTACAATCGCGAATGTAAAGGCTTCACATGCTGTTTTCTCAAACGTAGCCGACATCTAATGCAAGAATTTGTTCTTGAGAAACCAATGTCAGCTGGTGTAAAGCCGAACAAGTCAGAAGAAGCCGCGACGGAACTATCCCAAGTGCCGTAACTTCCCTATACAGTTAAGTAGACCTTCCTTCCGTAGAATGCTCCTTTCAGACATCCTCACATGTCGATGGACATCCTGAGACGAATTTTCATCCTATTTTCAACCTCACTATTCCACTCAACACTTATTTTTCACCCAGTTTCATTCTCTTTCACCTAGTTTCACCCTCCTTCCAGCAATAGTATCAATGTAGGATTTTGATCATGATAATATTTTGATCACTGATAATTCAGCCAGATAATTAGGGTTTTCAACTTTATCCATTTCTTTAAAAATAATTCGTAAAACCTTCCTATTTTTTCGTTATTTGATATTAAAAAATTTGTTACTAAAAGAATATTTTGTTAGTCCAAGTAGAATTTTAAATGTCACAGTTAAAACCACTGTTTTAGTACTTGATACAAAATTGTCTGTGGACCGGTTGTTCTTGGTAACTTAACTGAGTTAAATCATATGTCTATTGTCTTTGTCTAAGTTGAAAGAAAAACGAACATAGACATATGATTTAACTATCAGTTAACTTACCAAGAAGTTGAAACAATCGACCTTGTGGTATATAGAATTTACAGCAGCAAAGCATTTGAACAATGTCTGCTAGGAAAAACTCTTAGCAAATTTCTCATATCTCTAGGTCTGTTCTTTTTAGCTGAACTACCCGAACTGGTGCACACCGATGCAATAAGTTAGAGTAAGACAAATATATTTTGTTTCATCCTAACTTATTGTACTAGTCTTCACCAGTTCAGGCAGTTCAGCTAAAAAGAACAGACTTTATATCTCGATAATTTTGATTGCAGGACCACTTTTTATTTGAGTGAAACCAGAACCTCCCCATGAGAGAGTGTCGCGTCGCGAAGCCGCGATTGCCGTACTCTCTTCGCATCGTACAATCTTCGGCGTCCCCCGCGGAATTCGCGCGCGACGCTGCCGTGGACGGAGATGAAGACGCGCTTCGTAGTACTATTAGCGGTCGTAATCACGGGGGGGACGATTCAGAGGCGAAGAGCAGTGAAGGGGGGTCGCGAGGGATGGCGTCTAAATTTAGGCGCGATGCATTCTGGGGACGACGGACGACGTCGGGCAGGCCAGGGCGGCGGGGAGACAGGCAAAAAGACTCCAGATGGGACGTCGGAAGGGACAGTGTCGCGATTCACTTCTGGCTGGCTTCCAAATGGCGATACTCCGTGGTCCGGCCTCATGAATGAGCCGCACGGAAAATGAGTTTCCTTGATCAAAACTAGCGCGAATATCGCGCACGCTAGGCTAGGCCCGACGACCGACGACGGGCAGACGAACGAGCCGACGACTAGGCCGCCGTTCGAGCCAAGCTTCGCTCGTTCTTCTTCCTCTTCTTCTTCTTCTTCTGCTGCTGCTGCTGCTGCTGCTGCTTCGTTTTGCTCGGTTAAGCGACATCCCTCACCGACTTCCGCGAGTTCTCCGCGGTGATTATTATAGATCGTCGCGCCGACAGCGCGAATCGATATAGAGCGACGACGGGAAGCGAGCTCTCCTAACTTAATAAATCCTGATTCAGTCGTCGCGCGTGCTTGACGATCGAATTAAAATTACTTCACTCGCTCTGTGACTAATTGGCAAATCCGCCCAGAGCCGTGGGTGCCGTTGGGAGTCGCGTCTCGTGCATTCGCCGCAAATGCGAGCACCTTAGTTGATTTCCCCGAGGAAGCGAGGATCATTGCGCAGCACGAACGACTAATCGATTCAACTTCGGGTCGGCGGGAAACTGTTATTTTAGCGGAGCAAATTGCGAGTTTCTTTTCGCGGAAGTACTGCCCGAGGAAAGGTGGGATGTAATGTTGGGCAGGAAAAATCTGACGTTCCTTTTGCCATCGAACCTCTGATTCCTTAAGGGTATCTTTAAGGTCTACTTATCTTGAAAAATAAAAACAACTGAATTTTCATCAAGCTTCCCTAATATATTTCCTAATAAAATGCTTTAATTTTTTCTGTTGAAATAACTCTTTAAACGAAACTTTTGAAACATTATCTACAGGTATTTGATATCAAAGTTATTGCAAGTGTTATTGCTCATTGTAACGTCTGAGTGTAGAGTAGCAAAGAGTAAATTTCCAAAATAAACTGGGACCCAAAAGGCTAACAGCGCCCAAATCGGAAAGATCCAACACGTATTCTTCACAGTATTCGCACGAAAATATCAGGATGACCGATGTGAGACACGATGTGCTACCGTCGTATGTGACGCATAATGAGACGCATCGTGTTTTATGTTGCAGAAAAGACGATTAATCCCGACATCGCGGTGACCACGGGCGACAAGCTCAACCTACGTTGTTTGCCAAACCTCAACGGCGAGACGACGTGGTACAAGGACGGCGTACAGTTGCAGCGGTCCTCCGCGAGGATGAAAGTGATCAAGCACACGTTGAAGATAAAATACGTCGACGCGGCAGACACCGGCGTCTACGCTTGCAGACTGGAGTCGTCCGACAGTATCGAGTGGCGTAACGTAACCGTTCGCGTGGAATCGCCACAAAACGACAGCTTCCAGGGTGGCGAGGGTGAAGAGACGAGCGGCGCGATGGACACGCTCAGGCCGGAGGACGAGACCAACGATCTGGAGATCGAAACAAGAAGTGAGTTCTGCGAACGATTCACTCAACTTTAATTTACTGCGATTTCGAGTGGCAGTGTTTTCATTATTGCATTAAATGAAATTACTGCCACTTTTCACTCATTTTAAGTGCGATTTCACTTCGAGAAATTTTTAGAGTATTTTGATTTATCTATTTACTTAAATAGAGTATTTTTTAAGCTACTTAGCAATAAATTTAATAAAAAGCAAATTGAATTTTTTTCATAATAAAATTCTTTAATTTTTTCCTTCTGCAACTTCTAAAACTTCTCGAATGATTCCGCTTCCATTCTAAGCTTAAGTGAAAGATTCACTTTTGCGATCTCTAGTAATAGTATCTTCTCTATTGCTTCAAATAAAAATATTGCTATTTTGCACTTATTTTGATTGAGATTCTACTCGAAGAGAAATTTAGAAAAATGGCAGTTACTGAAGAGAGTAAGTGGTAGCAAATTTTGCAGTGGTAGCAAGTTTTACAACGTAACGCGTTATTCCCCAATCCTGATATCTTTATCTGAAATTAAAGAGTAAAACTGATGTATTATTCCTCATAATTATAGAAAAAAATTCATAGGAAAGGTCTACAAATTGATTTCAAATTGATTGCAACATTTACTCGTATGGAATCAGAATCCATGCGAAACTTAAATGAGTCACTTATCTTTACGATCCCGAGCGGTGTGGTATTTTCACTATCGCTTCGAGTAACTTTTTACTCTTCTTGAATGATACTTCACTTCAAGAATCCACATTCTCATGGTCGTTAATTGCTCGCGAGACTTCCGCAGAAAATCAAAGTACAAGAAAAAGACGAAGAAAAACGAGCAGTTGGCTCCCCTTCTGTCGTGATATGGAAATCAAACGCGACTTCTTCAAAAAATTGCACGCTGATGAAATCGTGTTCTACTGCTACTACTTCCACTGCTGCTACTTTGCTACGCTTAATTATCCTACGTGCACTTTCGCAGACTTGCCCGAGACGCGGTCGTTACGCCTCGAGAGCGACAAGATCGACGCGGAACTGGAAAACGAGAAGGCCGAGAACGACACGGTAGACGAACACAACAACACGACGTTGGAGAGTTCGCCCATGTTCAACAAGAGCGACGAGATGCTCGTCGCGGTGGTGAAGCCCGCTGGCAACATGCTGCGACTGAGGTGTCCGAGCGTCGGCAATCCCAGGCCGAACATCACCTGGCTGAAGAACAACGAGGAGCCACGGCGGGACCTCGGCACCGTCATAAGAACCAAGTGGACCCTGAGGTTGGAGGATCTCGTGCCGAAGGACAGCGGAAATTACACGTGCATCGTGTGCAATCATCTGGGATGCATCAACCATACCTTCAAGGTCGACATATTAGGTGAGTGGATACATTCATGTGTTCATACTTACGTGCCTACGCCACGTAAGCCGTTCGATTCCACTTCCTGCTCGCTGCGAGTCTTGGGAGTCGTCGCTACCGTTCTCGCGAGCGATAAAACCCGAGAGCGACCGCGAGTCGGTCGGTTGCGAAGTCGTTTGCTTTACGCGAATGCGCGGACTCGTTGTACCACGAAGCGAATGAAACGAAGCGACTCACTGCAAAATCGCAGAGCGTTTCCCGCACAAGCCGTACATCAACGAGGACTTCCCGAAGAACGTGACCGCTCTGGTCAACAGTACTGCGAGCTTCAGGTGCCCCATTGTTTCTGACCTCGAACCCTTCATACAGTGGTTCAAGGTTGACGAGTATCCGGACGATGATCAAGAGGATACGCCCAAGGGGACGTTGCTGCAGGTACAGCAGCTCTATTTTTCGCGCTGGTGAAGGGTCATGGTTCTTTGTAATCTTGTAACCGATGATTCTCCTTCTCTTTCTCGCTGTATCTACCTCTCGATCGAGTTCTCGCTCGATCGACGAGACTCCGTCGTGCCAATGTCTTTGTTCAATTGTATAGCTTCTACGTGACTGTTTATTCACGCAGGAAGATGGTGGTGCGGCCTCTTCGGATGACGTAGCTTCGGCCAAGGATTGTGATTAACAAACGTTTCTAGCTCATCCTTCGTCTATAGGGAAGATTTTTCTCATCTTCATGGTTGCGGGTGTTTTGGAGCTTCTCATTGTCGCTTTATTCTGTGTTAAACTCGAGGAACTTTATCGATACCACACGCAGAGAATTTTTCTTGAAGATATAAACATTTGTTAATTGTGGAAGAACCATATAGTAATCTTGCCTTGGCTAGGATGTACTTACAGTGTAGACGAAATTTCAAGAAAGTATGGGAAATTTAGAGAACTACACACAAAAGTAATTTTCTACTAAAAAATATGAAACTTTCTTAATGGTTTTGAAAAGAAATTTCCATACTAAATTAATCTTTCATATTCGTCACGTATTGCTTTAAATGTAGGCAAAATTTCCAGGAGGTATGGGAAATTTGTTATGCGGTAGTCTTGCTCAGCTAAGATTTACACTTACAACGTGGAAAAAATTTAGAAAGCAAAGAATCAAACTATACAGACAGAAATAATTTTTTCCAAGTATAGTATGGATTGTTTCCAATGACTTTGAAAACAAATTCCTATATTGAATTAATTTTTGAAACTGTTCTTTGAAATTGTTCAACTTGAAACAGTTGCAAGTTCTGATTAACCAGAGATCTTGTTTGATTAACCAGAATCTTGTTAATTTAAGTAGAATTCTGATGAACTCCGATCGGAATTCCGGTTCGTTCACATTTCACCAGATTGATTTAATTCACCAGATGGTTAATCGAAACCAATTTTTTTCGTTGCAGTCTAAATTTCGACTCCAGTATAAGTGTATCTTAGTCGCGCAAGATACAAGTCTTGTAAATTATGCTGTTAGCTACGCTATGTTACTCAACAGAAATTTTCTGCGTGCACAAGCTTCTGTAAAAATTAGATAGAAAGTAGGGAAGAACTATCTTCCTTGTGTATATAGAGTAATATAGTTATTATGTACATAGTACGTATATAGTAGAGAGAGATGTGTATACATATATGCAGTAGGACTTTCAGGAAATCTGCAGGGACCAGCTGCTCTCTTCCCTCTCCTTCTCTTCGTGCCTACACTTAAATGTCGTCTAAGACTCGGCTAAAACGGTGGTTGGGTTTCTCTGTTTTCTCCTGTAGAGACAGTGATGCACCGACCGATCCTGACGAGGGCCCCGCGAAACCAAACAGTGCTTATCGGCAGCAATGTTAGTATGGTCTGCGAAGTGTTGTCTGACGCGCATCGTCATCTCGAGTGGTACCACGGTTACCATACCTCTTTCGACACCGTCAACAAAACCAATCAGAGCTTACGGGTGGAGGTCAAGGTGGGCGCACAGCATCTTTGTTGCTTCTTCTTCTTCCTCCTCCTTCTCCTCCCTTTTCTCATCTTCCTACTTTCTCTCACACATTTCCGATCGCTTTCTCTCGACTACTCAAACTCGAATCTCTTCCACTCTCTAACTCATGGCTTCATACTCTTCTAATATTCAGGTGGCATAACTCTGGCATGCGCTTATGTATACATGTGTGTACATGTATGTGTGTATTCTTTCCTCAAATGTCTTAACGATGTACGTTCGAACGATATCGAGCGCGGTAATAGCAGAAACCTATGTTCACGTAGACAGGAGCGGATCCGGTTATGCTAAAGCTGTACAATGTCACCGAGAAGGATGAGGGATGGTACACGTGTATCGCCCAGAATGCGCTCGGGGAGACGTTCAGCAGCGCATATCTTCGCGTCGTCGAAAGTAAGTGTAATTGAATCTTATTCAGTGCCGCTCTCGAATTCGCGGACACGAATTTGCATCGGAACGAGCGATTTGAAGTTACCACGATCTTATTGAAATCTTTTGCAGCGTTGGACGAGCAGAAAATACCGCTAACCGCGAGGCCGCAGGTCCTGGTGAACGTCCTGGCGGCCGTCCTCTGCGTGTTCTTCGCCCTGGGCGTCATAGTGGTGATATACATTTTCCACCGACTGAAACGCGAGAAGATGAAGAAGCTGCTCGCCATCGAAACGGCGCGCGCTGCGGTCGTCACGCAGTGGACGAAAAAGGTGATCGTGGAGAAGCAGAACTTGGTGAACGCGCAGAACATCGAGGACTCGTTGCTGATGCCGGTGGTGAAGATCGAGAAGCAGAAGTCCACCGTGATCGCCGAGGAAAACAGCGGCGACAACGTGTCCGAGTACGAGTTGCCGTTGGACAGCGCCTGGGAACTGCCGAGGGAGCATTTTGTGCTAGGTGAGACATTGGGCGAGGGAGCCTTCGGCAAAGTCATCAGGGCTGAGACGAGCACCGGCAGATCCGGTATACCCAACGTCGTGGCTGTAAAAATGCTGAAAGGTGAGCAGAGGGATGAATTATAAAGCACTTTTTGAATGTCTTTGAGTGAAATCTCTTTCAAAACTGAACAGTGAATAGTGAAAAATGAGCAGTATTTTCAGTCGAATCGATCATGAAAATATTGCCACTCTTGCGAAATTGCAAGAGTGAATGTTTCACTTAGAGCTTAGAGTGGATTCTGGCTCCATATGAGCCAGAATGTTTCAATCAGAGTGAATATTCCTGTGGCAGTACATCAGATTTATTCTTCAATTGGCCATAGTTATGCAAGAATGATCCAACTTACATTGAGTACGTTTCGAGAAAAATGAGGACGGAAATTTTGATACATAATTTTAAAACATAACATAAATCTTTATATTATTATATTATAAATTATTGTTATTATTGTGTACTTTGTCATATTCGCAGAGGGCCACACAGATACTGAGATGATGGACTTGGTTTCCGAGATGGAGATGATGAAGATGATCGGTAAGCACGTAAACATCATCAATCTGTTAGGCGCCTGCACGCAAAATGGCCCGCTGTTCGTCGTGGTGGAGTTCGCGCCTCACGGTAACCTGCGAGACTTCCTGCGCAACCACAGACCCTCCTCAGGGTATGAGCCGGCCATCGGGCAGGAGCGGAAGACGCTCACGCAGAAGGACCTGGTCTCGTTCGCCTACCAAGTGGCACGAGGGATGGAGTACTTGGCCAGCAGGAGGTGCATACACAGGGACTTGGCCGCCAGAAATGTCCTCGTCAGCGACGAGTACGTGCTGAAGATCGCCGATTTCGGCCTCGCCAGGGATATTCACAACCACGACTACTACAGGAAAAGAACGGACGGTCGGCTACCGGTGAAATGGATGGCGCCGGAAGCCCTCTTCCACCGCGTTTACACCACTCAGTCCGACGTGTAAGTAAACCTGTGTGAACGAAAGAACTTTCGTCCAAGAGCAATTAATTGATTCTGTTCGATTTAATCACATACTGCTTGTTTCTCGCCATCTCTGATATCAGCCACTTCTATATCAACACTTGCTAGCCTCACGAAATGAAGAATAAAGTGTTAAACTGAATTAGACAATTTTTACGTGAAAATATATGTACGATTATATTGAGTTGTATTACAAGTAATTTCAAATTTTTCAAGTAAAATGGAGCATAAAATTGTATTTTTATGTCGTCATATATGATAATTTGATGAAACAACACATATGTCGTTTTGATGTTTGATCTTCTGCCATTTTTCGCGCACATTAATTTTAAATAAGTTAATTCTTAAAACTTAAACTTGTTATTTTGAAATGCATTAATTTTAACTTTATAACGTTATAACTTTTTTATATAAGTTAAAATAATTCATCAATATTTAAATTTTGAACATAAAACAGTCGGCATTTTTTTCATAGAAGACTACCTTTTTTTATTAGTAATTCGCAAATTTAATCTTGGATTAAAAAAGTAATTATGAAAAAAACATATTGCTTTGTATATAATTGATTTTTAACTTTAATAAGCTAACTTAACGTTAAATTAACTTTTAATTAAGTTAATTTCTCTTGTAACTTTTAAAGTAAATTAAGTTAAATTAAAGATCATTAATTCTTTAAACTTAATTTAAAAAATAATTAACTCACCTAATCCTGCTTACATATTACACAACCCAATACATGTGTATTACTTAGCTCTTTTTGTATATATTATTTTTTATGCTCTGAAAAGAGACTTGCTCTAGGACAAATAATAAAGCTTTTCATTCATTCCTTCCAGATGGTCGTACGGTATTCTGTTGTGGGAAATCATGACGCTGGGCGGCACGCCTTACCCGTCCGTGCCGTCGGTCGAAAAACTATTCCAGCTACTTAGAACCGGACACCGAATGGAAAAGCCGCCTTGCTGCTCGATCGAAATGTAAGACACGTCTTAACACGCGATCTGACTATATAATACGGCTGATGTACGTTTGCGCGAGAATACATTCTTCGATACTTCGATTACAGATATATGCTCATGAGGGACTGTTGGAGTTACCAGCCGAAGGAGAGGCCGACGTTCGTGGAATTGGTCGAAGATCTCGATAGAATATTGACCATTACCGCGAACGAGGTAATTTTTTCTTTCTCTCTCTCTCTCTCTCTCTCTCTCTCTCCTTCTCTCTCTCTTTCCCTCTCACATTAATGAATAACCACTAAGAATATTCTTGTATCGGCGATCTCAATGTCTCACGTGTATATTTTCCATATTTACTAGGAATACCTGGATCTTGGTCTACCCCAGCTGGACACACCACCGTCCAGCCAAGAATCCAGCGCGACGGAAGAGGAAGGCGAAGAGAAATTCCCAAACCTGCTGTGAACGTGTTAATTACCGCGACTTAACGAGGAAGTCGCGAAGACGAGTCGAAGCACGAAGTAATCCAAGAAAGACTCGCAAGCGCGATTGAGGAAAAGCCCACAGGCATGCATCTATCTTCGCATCCGGAAGCGAGCGAGTCGAATGGACGCGATAAAGAGAAAAAAATAAAAAGAGACGAAGAGCGAGAGAGAGAGAGAGAGAGAGAGAGAGAGAGAGAGAGAGAAGCGCAAGTTTACGCGTGAAAGATGATATCGACTGAAACAAGCTGAACACGCCAAATAACATAAATCAGTATTGACCTGTAGCGCGTATTTTTCACGTAGAATTAAGGAAGAGCGCGTTGATCGTAGATCGGTAGCGTACTATATCGCTCACGCGCGAGAGAGAACGAGAAAAAGAGGATACCTGATAAACCGGACATTCTGTATTACATTATTTTTCTACGTGGATCGACACACGCTACGCGTTTAAGATTAAGGGGGAACATATGTCTACCCAGTAAACAAGAAATCATTGACAGAACGTTATTGCGAGGATACTCAATAGCGTTTTTAGTATGTAGTTTCAAACGTTGTATATCAGCGTCGTTGCAAGTACAGCTTCAATATTTTTTAAACATTTTTGCAATGTTTGAAGAGATCATACTCTCAGTAGTGTCTGTGAAATACTTTTAAAATAACAAACGAAAACGCGTTCAAGACATACATATAAAATCGATATTTCAATCTGTTGGTCCAATGTTCTTTGCTTACTGGGTAGGTACTGAAAGTGAGGGTCACTTGCCTTTTAGTGTGTAGAACGAATACATGGTGAATTTCACAGGTACATCGGTTTAGTAGATTTTCGGAGAATCAAGGATTTTTCGAGAAAATTCGAGAGATTAAGAAATCGATCGTTACGACCCCTCTGAAACGTATGTTCCCTCTTAAAACAGGAGGGACGGAGCAGCGCGCGGGAGCCGAGAGGAGGAGGAGGAGGCCGGTCCTCCTCAACGGCCGGGCGCGCTGAAGCGGATTCCTAGATCGCCTGTACGGATCTATAGGTATTCGTAGGTGTAATAATTGTGCCATGAAGCAGTGCCTTGCGGTGGGAGCGCGCTCGCGAGCTTCTGCTCGCGAACGGAGAGGTGAATCGTTGTAAGTGTCGTGTGCGTCGCGTACACACGCCGGATCGACGGCGGAGATCCTCGCGCGCGAAAATGATACCGAGAGCGGGCATGATGTTGCGTTTTGTAACTAGTCAACTGTGTTTGTAACTAGGAAGCCTGTACGTTTTCTCTGTATTATAGTAGCTGATAGATATTCTTAGTGTTTTTACGCGGCTAGAGTGTTAGGCGGACAACGACAATGTAGATTTTGTATCGCGGCCAGCAGCGTGTTCTGTGTAGCAATTTTGTAAAAAAAGGAAAAAAATAAGAAAAACGAGGAAAACACGAAGGGGAAAATCGAACTGAATACACACAAGAGATCGAGCGCGAGAGACGAGTTACCTAGCCAACACGGTGGAATATTTTTTTTTAAATTTTTTAGACGAATCGAACATGAAACAGACGAAAAGAAGATGGAATATTAGGCTTTTCAAATATATATTCCTATTGTCATTTAAAAATAAGAAAATAAATAATACCGCAATATCAGTGGTCGTTTGTAGAAGCCGTCAAGTTTCTCGCCATCTGAGCGACTTGTCTCGCGAAACTGTTTAACCGACCAACTTCTATTTTTGAACATGTGTTCAACACATTCGTTTCTCGATATGATTGGAACTATGAGTTTCTCAATATGTCGAACATTTCTATTCTTTTCAATCCGAGAGAGCCAAAGGAAGAGTAGTGAAACTCACGCTAAGCTTTAGCCAGCTTCCATTTTGTCGAAGAGCGTTTTAAAAAGTAATCCTAACTTCAGCGATAACCACACTTGTAACAGTTAAAAAAAAACTTTACTCGTTTATTTCAAGCCAGTATAAGGGCCGTGGCATACAGAAAAACTTAAGCAGTAAGACGTACACAGTAAACAAATTGACCAATCACAGTCGTTGATTCTTCTTACAATCCAACAATCAATGACTGTGATTGGTCAATTTGCTTACTGCTTAAGTTTTTTTGTGTGTCATGGCCCTTAGAGTCACAGAGTGTGGGACAAATTGCTCAAACGGCAAGGAATTTTATACTAAAAAAAAAGAAATATTTGAGAGCTTATTTATACAAAAAGCCTATTTCTGTTAAATAAAGTTTATTTCTGTGGATAAACTTTATATCCCACAAATAAATTTGCAAACAGATTTACTTCTCAGTATAAACCACTGTTTAATATTGTGGCATTATTTTATTATTTTCTTATTTTTCAATGTGGGAATAGAAACATGTATTTAAAACGCAATATACAAAATATCTATTTTATATATTGTCGATTCATTTTGTTTTGTCGATTCATCTAAAAGGAATTTCGCAAATTGGCCTCATAAATAGCTTTGTAAGATAGGATATTTTTTTAATGGTGTTTTAATGAGATATTACGCATTAATGACGTCACACTAGCGTCATTAATACGTTATTATGTTTGCTGGGAAAGAAAGTCTTTCTCGCGCGCGTTGAGGCGAGAAACAGAAGATCGGCGTTGCTTGACGAGAAAAGGAGGTCCAAAGTGTCGAGAGTATCGCTGTAAGTCCTTTAGTAGTTGTACCGATATCGATTGCGATAAGTGTATAAACGGGGAAGAGGTGCTTAGCGATAGATAATTTATTTTTCGTATTATCGATGTAATGTCTCGAGTATAATAGATATATTTGAGGATCCTTTTCTCGTTTCTTCTTCTTCTTTTTTACGTAAGCCTAAGACAAGCTGCGCGAGCGGCACTCTTGTAAAAAGTAACAATAATGGATTGCGCGTTAGTACGTAGCCGGATAATCTGAAGACGATGTCTGTACATATTGACGTTTATTTAAAGATTATTTGTTATACTCACACAGCATCCAAACACACAAACAAATTAGTAAATGAGCATTTACCTAAGGTACGTAAGAGCGTAATGTATAGATTGTGTAAAGGATCATTATTGCAACGCGAGTTTGTCGCCTCCAATAAATTGATCGACATATATTAAAATAATACACGGCATTTCCGTTACTTTCCGAATTTCCTCAGTAATAAACAAGACAGAGAGAGGGAGACGTTAAGCAGTATTTTAATACTTGTCTCGTCTCATAGATGCTAGAAGGAACATTTCAATTCATTTGACAGTGAAGTCACAGACAATTAACGATAACAATTAACCTATTTATAGCAAAATAATTAAAATGACAATATTTTGAAAAAATAGATAATGCGAGAGAAAAAATGTTTATATTTTCTTAATTTTATTCAACGTCAATGAAAACATATGAGAGGGACCGTTATAAAAATTAATAATTTTTATACAATCAATTAAATTAGTAATTCGTATATAAATAATTTTTATGTAATTAGCTTTAATGTAATTGTACTTTTTTTGCATAATTAGCAACTTTTATATAACAAATTAGAAATCCGAAATTTTAACTACTTTGGTAGTTTTATTGTTAAAAAAATAAAATTGTCCGTTGCGTGCACAGAATATTTATGGAACGACGTCATGTACCGACGAAGTATTATAAAAGACCGTCGGCTTTATGGGCTTTAGCGACCCCGAGAAATCTGATTGTACATTTTTTACCTTTTTCTTATATCCTATATTCTTATTGTTATCCTACTTAGATCGTCTTGTCTCTTTCTACGCTTGTCAATACGATTTCGGCACAATGTTCCGTCCAGTACTATATGTCGATGGTGTACTTTTACGAAAAGAATACGAAAAACCCTCGATTTTGAGTCACAAAGACAGAAGCGTCTTCGTGTGACGCAGGTCAGTATTGTCATCGTTCTTCAATTATCTCCGGACCCTTCTGGGCCCTTTAGCCGGGTCGAAAATTTATCCAAGGCTGGCAGTCTTTAGTAATATCTCGTCGGTGACGACGTTAAGTCTCCAAAGTATTTGTAATTTGAAATACTTTTTCATATCGTCGAGTTAAGATAAAGATCATTTCTGGCGCGGATAGCAGACGCGAATTTCATCCGGGCATTTGTGTGAAAGAGAAATCGATAAATCGTCTATCAGATAAAGAGCAGGCGCATATATCTCCGCTTTTAACTGCAGCCGCGTGTTTCCCGTGGATCCGCGTCGTGGCCGTTGCTTGGTGGCGCTGCAATCAGTCCGTTTCAGTCCGTTTTGTTGTCGTCAGTTCAGTCACGTTTACATTAAGTTGTTTTTAACCGGATTTTTAGTGAAACTCCTTTAGTTCCGCATCGTTTACCGTAGCCCAAGGCCGAAGTGCGCGAAAAATGCTGCGAATTTCGTGAGTCGTCCTGGCGAAATGTCGCGGTGAGTAGGGCCAACGAGAGGCACCGTGTAACCACGCTCGGGATTGAGGTTAGAATTCCATAACCCACTTTCCTGATATTAAACGTCTTCTCTTCTGTGCGTGCACGTTTATTGACAACGGCAAGGGGGCCTTGATCCGTTTTGCAGATAGTAACATCTGTCTATTAAATGGTGATTACCGGTGCCATGGAGAGGAGGATAAAACTGAAGACTCTCAACAGTCACATAACTTGCAAGATATGTCGCGGGTATTTGATAGACGCTACCACCGTCACCGAATGTCTGCACACATTCTGCAAGAGTTGTCTGGTGAAACATCTAGAGGAGAAGCACACCTGTCCGACATGCCAAATCGTCATACATCAGTCACATCCACTCCAGTACATCAGCTTTGATAGAACTATGCAGGATATTGTCTACAAGTTGGTTCCTGATCTCCAAGAAAGTATGATTACTGTTCTACACTGCTGATAGATCTTCTTTTTGGCTGTATTTACTTGTACCTTTTGTCTTTAGAGCGAAATAAATACATAACCTAGCATTAAAGAAGAAGGGAACAAAGTTTTAGCGTAATGTTGATTCAGCTTAGAAGAATAAGCCTGATGTCTCTCGTCAGCTGGAGAAATATCTCTTTTAGACATTAACAGAACATTTTTTATTTCAGACGAAACCAAAAGAGAACGAGAATTTTATAGAGCCAGAGGTTTGGCTTGTCCCAAGGATATTTTACCTAACACTGGTGAAATCGAGGAAGAAAAGACCAATACGGACACTCATGCTGAATCGGATTATCATCGGGCTGATGAACAGGTATGAGCACACATGAGTTCGCTAATAGAATCTTAAGTCACCATTGGAGTTAATCTGTGATATTTGTAGGTCAATGTATGCTTGGAGTGTATGAATGCTAGTTTGAAGACGCTGAAGAGAAGATTTATCAGGTGTTCAGCTCAGGCTACGATAACACATGTAAAAAAATTTATTGCCAAAAAGGTTCTGAATGGCATGGAAAAATATAGAGATGTAAGTGCACACAAGTGATCCTACATGTGAGAATGTTTATTATTATTGATTTTAATTAATTCTATTAATTATTATTGTTGATCTTGATTTATTTTATTATTATTATTAATTTCATGATTTATTAATTTGCACGTGTTCTTTTCCCCAGATCGATATTTTGTGCAATAACGAGTTACTAGGTAAGGACCACACGTTGAAGTTCGTTTATGTGACGAGATGGAGGTTCCGGGACCCACCTTTGAGACTACAGTATAGGTCACACATAGACATGCAAGATTAATCTTTCCATGTTCGAGACGTAAGAAGAAATCACGGAGGACCTGTCTCTACACTTTGTACATTTTCCTAGTTCTATTTCCTACCTTTATCTGTAGTACTTACTTCTATTCGTTTTACTGGACACTCGTGTTGCAGTTTAAAGAAAGCACTTTTCAGTTCTGCTGGACTCCCGATGCCGATCTCAAAAACTGCGCTCTCTTATTATTATCGATTTTCCCGATAATTATAAATACGACCGCGTCCGATATTTATACTATTTATATTCGTATCGTAATGCGTCATTGTGCTACTATTTATAGTTTATAGTTACATAATGACGCGTTTATACGTCGGAATAATTCGTTTCTTTACGTAAAGTCAGAGGTTAACAGAGACCGCTTTATCGTGTTCGAATATTCTACCTTCTTTGTAGCTTAAAGTCTCGACTTACACGAGTGTAATTTGTAAGTGTGAAACTGGAGCGAGGAAATATCGCACCAGCAACCTCTTAAGCCAGCGGCATATGATGCTTGTTTTCATGCTGAATTGCTTGCTGATTGGTGCATTTCTGAAGATGGATGGAAATACACCAATCAAAACAATATTTCCATCCAGCAAGCAATCCAGCACGAAAACAAGCACCGTGTGCCGCTGGCTTTAGACCCGGTTGCACCAGCCGAGTGTTGAGTTAACTAACAGTTAACCAACGTCTTTGGTTTTTCTTCGACATAAATATAAACGACAGACAGACGTTTGAACTATTAGTTGGCTCACCAATTCGGTTAGCGCAACTATGTCTCAAAACGCAGAAACTTGACGAGTGATTGAGCGAGACTTTTTGCACTGCGTCGTGCGAAACGAAGTTCTCGTTTTACGGAAAAGAAGGTATATCTTGTTTTACATATGATACATACCCTGCGTCTGTACATAGAATATTTTTGACAGAACTCGGACGACGTTGCGCGTAGACGCAAAGCTTGGTATTAGGTGAGAGAAGAAACCGGGCCCGGACGTTCGTCTCCGGGCTCCTTTTTAACTTTGTATGTTTATGCGTCGTACATATTCTAATCGAGCCGCAGGTTTCTCCCGACGCCGACTCGCGCCCGAGAGAAAGAAGATTATTACTTAGCAGCGACGTTATATTTTCAAGAGATTCGCCATCGGCGACGCCGTGTCGGGCGAGACAGGCGGCTCTTGTCGCTTGTAGTAAAGTGATCTTGTTTCGTCTAACGATGTTGAGCGAAGAATTTAAGAGAGAAAGAAAAACGAAAATATGGTGTGATTGTATATAAACATTAGAGAATATCGAACTCACTTTGCGAAGTAGCGGCATTTCGAGGATACTAGAGCTTGTACGTTGTACACTGTATATGTGTATCTCCATAAATTATTAAATAAATATGTTTTGTACAGTAACTCGCGCGAGAATATTGTCCGTATCTAAAAGGAGCGCAGATGAAATGTAGAATACTTCATTAATAGTGAATTCGATGTGCATTTGCTCGGCTCCGGTACATAATTTTTTATTACTACGCACTCAAATTCAGAGTGCATATTGTACTGAATAGCATCACGAAATTAGGCAATGCAATTCAGATGAATATCTTTTTATTCACTAATGAAAGGTAAGGTGGTTTAACACAGAACTCAGAAAGGACACTTATAATAAATTCGTCACATTAATACCACTTGCATTAGTGCACAATGAGTGCAAACTTTTGTGTCATCTGATTCAATGCACTCAGATTGTTGATTTTGAATGAATCACTCTATATAATAGCACCAAATAGCACAGATGTCTGAAATACGTTTTAGAGATATCCTAAAAACGTATAAAACCAAGCAGATTATTTTTTAAGCGTCTCTAAGATATCTTTTAGACATTTATGTTGTATTGGTGTTTTAGCAACTTTGATATAGTGCTTGAATAAGAATTGCTCTAATTCAGCACACTGAATTGATATTTGAATGAATGGAATAAGCTGAATGAGGTTAAGCTCTTAATTGCGTTGACATTTTAGACAGTATTACATTTGCATAATGTTGAGACAACATCAGAAATAATATTCTGGATGTATCCTAGACGAATGCAAAATATGCTTTTATGATTGTTAAACTGAAACAACGTTATATATATATATATATGTATGTATATGTATGTATATATACATATATATAATAAATACATGTATATATATGCGAGCTTTACATATATATATATATATATATATATATATATATATATATATATATATATATATATGTGTGTGTGTGTGTATGTGAAGCTCGTATAAGAAAAACAGAATTTGGAACCAAAAAAATACGTTAAATTATTTTGTTATTATGTTTGCTGTATGTCTAGAATAAAGGTGTATATCCAGACGCGACTTACATAGTCGTATAATAAATATGCACAAGGGAATTGATGATCAAATGTGTATCTGATATGAAAGACACCCTTTTGCTACGCAAATTATGATTAGTTAATTTTCTTACGCGTATGGAATGTACGATCATGTAAGTTAGACTTAAGCCTAAGTTAGACGTTTCAAAGTAGAGTCAAAGTGGAGTTCATGTCAGTTTTCAATATATCTAAAAAATAAAATAATATCTATTCGGTGGGTAATAATAACATATTTTCTTAAAAGTAAATTCTTTTGTTTAAGTAGAATAAACAATTATTTCCATGAAAAGTAACGTTTTTTGGAAATGTATATTTTCTCATTTGAAAAGATTGTTTCTCAATTTAAAAATGTGTATATAAAAAAAATGTGTATATAAGTAAATATGTTTTATTGATATCCATTGAATAAATATTTCTAAATATTTTTCCTCTTAGTGTAAAGAACATTTCAGATTTATATTAATAGCCGTTACTTGCTTTAGGTGAAATATTCAGATCTATATTTAGAATTAGATGTGAGTCTTTTAGAGTTAAATTACAATTATAATGTCATGAATATCAATTCAATTGAAAAAATCGAGTCTAACTCTGAATAAAAATCTGAATCTCTCGCACGAGCCAAGTTTCAAATTTCAGGAACTATTAATACAGATCTTGGAGACATCTAACAAACATACTACTTGTCCTCGACGTCTTTGAAATGTCTTTAAGATGTATTTTGATTATTTATACGGCCTGGATATACACTGGCATATCCGACCGAGTTTTCCACGCGTCCATCAGTCCGGTAGATAACTAATTTCCCGAAACCGCGCGAATTCTCCTGATTGTCTTGACTGTCGCGAGTTTTGAACGGCCATACCTCGCGAGAGGTAATGCATTTGTAGTTCGCGCTGCTTTTCAAACGCCGCCGCGCACGCGTTCTCACTCCCGGGAATTTATACCTCGAGAAGCGGGGCGGTCGAGAGAGGAGCGCATTAGCAACGAGCCTTCGCTCAGATACCTTCGCTTCGTTTGGCTTCAGTTCAATGAGAGACACCGTGACGGTGAGGTCGAGCCTGCCAGCGACCTTCTCTACGTTGCGCCCCTCTGTGCAAGTTTTGTGGGTATTGCGTCGCGCGTTATTGTGAGAAAGTGAGTAAAATCGATTTTCCGCAGTCTCGCCTCCTGGCGAGCGCGATTGCAAAATTTGGTGCGTGCAATTTCGATGCCAAATATCGTCGGAGTAATAAAGCAATAGTCTGTTTCGATTTGTTGAGCGAACGGAGCAACGTGCGCTCTCTCTCTCTCTCTCTCTCTCTCCCCCTCTCTCTCTCTGTATCTATCTCTCTTTCTCTTTCTCTCAGTCTCTCTTTCTCGCTTCCATGTCATCAGGCTATCGCCATAAGCGACTGGTGGGAAGAATTTATTGGGCCCGATGCGTAGCGAGACTGATCAGCGTTGATCAAGTTTGATTTCTCGTCCATTTTTCTCGGCAATCATCTCGTAAGTCTGCAAGCGGAAAATAATTGCGCGTACGTCGCGAATGCAAATACGATACACAAAGAAACAGGGGAGAAAAAACTGCGTGTGCGTCGTCATGCAAGGCGCGCGGTATGCGTGTATTACGAGCTCGTAACGCGTCGTTCGATCTATCGACGATTGACGAGATTGTTCAGACGAAGCGCGTTGTTGTGTTGTCGCGGCAGATAAGGAACTCGACGCGATTGATGAAATGTAATCACTCTGTCTCTCTCTCTGTCTTTCTTTCTCTCTCTCTCCCGTTGCTCCGATTGTTCGTGCCAGACCCGCATTCGCGTGTTATCACTGTCAACCGTTCGACGATGACGGAGAAGCATTGATTTAAATCACGCTCCTTTCGCGAACTCGTTCCTTGCTCCAGAACTCACGAAGTTGTTCGCCGGACCGCTCGAGGCAGTTTTATTCGACGCGCGGCCTGGTTCTCGCTTGACTTCTGCGACTACCTGCGACACTGTTTGTGAGTACACGGAGAAAATGTTATGGCCATTTTTCGTACGAGTTCTTTCCACTTTTATTATGTATCTCAATAGTCCAAGGATAAATTGCCGGTGAATTTTACCTTGCCTTAAGGGACGCAATTAATAAAACAATAATAACAAACAATAATAAAACAATAATCAATAAAATAAACAACAATAACAAAAATAAGTTTCTTAACAAAGAAACTTCTCAACGCGACTTAAGTTTACCAGAGCAATCAAAACAACCGATTTTCGAGAAATACACGAAGGAAAAAATATTTATTTATTTTTAGTTTTATTCAACTTTTGTCAATGCTACACAAAAGGAAAGAACATTTTGTTTCGAAAATATCTTTATTTTCAAAACTTAAAATGAGATTGCATAGTGTTAAACAAAATTAAATCACTTGCATCGATCACATTTCATATGATTTTATATGATTCAACAGAGAAAAATATATTCTTATTATTCAAAAATAATTCTCACGCATTTGTGGAGGGTATAAAATATCTTAAATAGCAGGATTGAATAACGTTGTAACGATACGTTAATAACGTCATTAATATATCATTATTTGCTGAGATTGAATTTACAATAATTATACATTTCTTATGAAACTATTTAAATGAAACTTAAATAAAGACAGTAATTTAAATAAAGACAGTAAGTTTCTTCTAACAAAATTATATGTCATTGCTTATATGTGAAACAATGATATTGCTAATTTGAGTATCTTAGTTTTAGGTGAAAACTAATTTTTTTTCTGTGTGATGTAATAGAGAAGAGAGAGTATATATTTCGCTGAGGATGAGATTATATTTTTTTATTAGTGTAGTTATTGCTAATGTAGAGTCACTTGCGTAATTCCCTCAATTGTTTTTTCACTTGTAATCCACTTCAATGTTTTTCATTATTTTTTTACAAAAAAAATAAAGTAATACCAAAAATATTTTTTATTAAATTATTCGGAATGGTAGGTTAAAATAATTAAAACTGGCACTCGAGAGTCAAAAATATAAAATGCATTGTTACAAGTTTGAGTAACTTTGATGAGAAATCGCAAACCAATCATTTTGACCGCTTTGGTAGTTCTAGTGTTAGTAGCAGATTTCAGTTTCTAAGATATATATATATAGCACAAACGAAACGAAAGAGTAACACAAATTAAGATAGAATGTCGATGCGTTTCTCGAAAGAATTATAATAACTTTTATCACAAAATTTCCTCCGTACAACTTCCACATACACAACTCCAAATAACCGGAGAAAAAGTTTCATTGTGCATGCCTAATCGCCTGCTGACAAATACTTTGTGCGCGCATTCTCAGTTATCGCAACATCATGGTCCAATGTCAACAAATCGATCGATCAGCGATCGATGAGCAAATCGCTTGACCGCTTCATCTCATTTGAGTCAAAGTCGAATCGCTTCGCTCCCACCTGAATGAACTCGTTACTTACGCGATATACGCGTCGAGGACGCAAAGTGGAGCGAGTAACGCGAATCTCGAGGTGAACGAGATGAAAATTTAGCCACGTTGCGAAAGAGCGTTGCTTTTTGCGCTTGCCCGAAAATTCGCTCTCATTGGCGTTTGTATTTTTCAGCGTGCCGTTTACCAAGTTAAACGCGACGTTTTACTACGCGACTTGTGCTCTTTACGATGCTTGAGACGCGCTGAGTATCAAGGCCTTGGCTTCGGTAAACGCGGACGCTCTCCTGACGGAAAGAAGCGAGGCTCTGCCGAGCGATAGCTCGACAGAAAAATTCGGTCGAGCGCCCACGACCGGTTTTCCTTCCTTTGCCTCTCCCTTCGACGAGGGCCCGTTACCTCGGTTACACGTAGGTACGTTTTGTACGGGTATATCTTGTGCGTTCTCTCTGTAGCATTCGTATCTCGCTCGCTTGTTTGAAGGAAAAATTAGTGTTGACAGCATAACTCGGCTATTTCTGTACCTGGCACAAACTTCTATATCGTGAAATGTTTACTTCTGTACCATTCAAACTTCTATGTAAATGATCTTAGAGTCATAATATTTTATTTAGGTACGAGAGATTAGTAGATAAATTAGCAAACATTGCGATATCATAATATACAGTATTTAATCAATGTAGATATGACAGAGACAGAACTACTATTTGAATTATCTGTGAAATTTAGTAAGAGAGTCTCTATGGCGCCCATCCAGATTAAGGCCAGTTATACCTCTTAAATTGACTGTGATAAGCAAAGAAAAAAAAAAAAAAATCAGTGATGAGAGACAAACGAATGTACAATTCTCATATCTACCTAAATTTGCTTACAGATATTGTTAAAATACTGTAAATTTTATGTACTACAGACAATATTCTTGCAGATATAAAATGTAGCGATAAATTTTAACTGTGATGTGTTTAGTATTTAATTTACCAGCAAAATATTTTGTTGAGTATAACGCAAAAGATACCTGGTCTAGATGCAAAGATATGTTGTTCATATGCTTCTTTTAGTATTTATTTTATGAGAAACAGTGGATGCAAAATCAATGAAATAGTTCTTTTAGAATATAGATACTTTACTTTGAGATTCATTAAAATTGGAATAATATTCCAAGTAAAAAAATAGATTTTATATTATGGCTAAAAGGATCGTGGCATTAATACATAGAAAAAGACTTGCCTTTATCATATTTGTATCGTTAGCCACGACAACTAATTGGGTTTGGAAAGTTGTACCTTCAAAATACGGACCAGGGTTATCTACCCCTGGTCCCTACTTTCTAAAGTAGAATAGTGTATTCTTCACTGAAACGTTATACTTATAACTGATGATTCAGTTATAAGTACAACGCTGCAATCAGTATCTTGCTGAAAGTATCACTTGATAGTTGCGACTGTTCTGAGATTATTGAGGTAATTTGCAAATGCATTTGGCAAATTACATCATGCGTAAACGGCGTGGAAGCCGTTAATTCCATCGCGTCAAACGGAAAGTTGGATTTGATATAATATATAACGAATGTGTACTACATATTTTGTAATGAAATCTTCTTGCATTGATCAAGATCAAGATGAGATATACGAAGCAGTAAAGTGTGGCAATCCTTCCACTGAAAATCAGTAAATATTTATTGATAATCGATAAAATCTCACTTTTATTAATTTCATCACAAACAATTTTAGTGATTCACTTTAACAGAGTACATAAACTCGCAGATATTATCCTGGTAGCTGGATATACACAGAAAAGTATCATTCAACAGCTGAAAAAATCGATTACTTGGTTTGCTTTTCTTTCTTTAAGTAATGTTTAACTTCAACACAAAGAATTTTTTTTTAATAATTATCTTAAAATATACTTATCACAAATTCGGGAAAAACTCATTTTAATGTGTATTTAAAAGAAGAGTTTATTCTCTTTACCAGAATATTATGAAACTTTATCGAAAAAAGAGTTGATTTGTATTGTTTGAAATTGAATTTGAATTGATTTGACTTTAGTAAGCAAAAAATTTTGTATTAATTTAATATTCTTGATCAAAATATTAAACCTGCTACGATTCAGAATATACTTTGGATAAATTTGTTGTTTGTGATGAACTTATGATAGATGTATGGTACATAAACTTATGAAATATTTCCTAGGTAATATCTAAAGGCGTCTTAATGACGTATTATTGACATTAGAGACGTTATTATGAGACATTAGAGACGTTATCAATACGTCATTTTCCGTCATTCTGCTATCTGGGTTGGAAACCACTAACATTTATATGAGTGCAGTATGTATATTTCTGTGTGTATTCACACTCGTAAATATTATTCCAGTAAGCGGAAAATATTAACGAGTAAATATTAGGTTGGTGCAGGAGAACTGTCAAATAAAGTAGAAAACGAAATTATCTAAAGGAGTAACCAATTTTACAAATAGAATAAATAACAATAATTGCTAATTAGCTTCGTCAATTATCATTTTAGATATACTATAATATTCCGGTAGAATATACTATAATCTTCCGTCATATAAATTCTCTATAATTTTATGTTATACTATGTTTTCTAGTAGTGCAGAAATACTTTGTCAAATCTTGATAAACATAATAAATTTTGCTGAGGAACGGGGACTTTCTGTTCTCCTTCTGATACTCGAACTTTCTACAAGAAAATCTAGTAGAAAAATAGCGAATTTCTTGCACAAATTTAATAGTTACGAGCCTGCGGTGTACTCGTTTATCAATTGTTACTGTTAAAAAATAAAAGAATTGGCGTAATTTCTGAAATTAACTGCGTACTCGGTTATTTCAGTATAACGCCCGAAAGGCGTGGTTAGTCAAAGCCGACGCTGCTAATAAAAATGCTACTGTAAGAGCGTAAGAGACGAATTTCGCTCGCGTGTAAGTAAGCGCGCGGATTCTATTTGTGGCCCAGCGCCAGTAATCGCGCTTATTTTTGACCGCGTTGTGCACGAAGTGTAGGAACTCTTTTTCCCAGCCAGACGTAAGCGCGGGCTATTTGGTGGAGAAACGATAATGCATATCGTCCAAAATATGTCTCTGATAATCGCCTTCTTTCGATCATTGCTATCGTCAGCTGTCATAACTGTAACGAGCCGCAATCCCTTGTTGTTTTGTATCGGCCGGAAAACTCGCGGTCTTCTCGTAAGACGAGACCGCGAATTAACTTAATGACCTAACCTAACCTAGGTTACAAGAATCGCAGTTAATCGCGAACATTGGCTGCTCGTGATTTATGTTTACGGACGAATTATATGGACGTTCTTTTGTTACGCGGGAGCAGTTCAACCTGTTCAAGGACGAACTTATTCAAAAGTTAGAAATAAATAATTTAATTAAAAAATGACAGAGTATGACAATTGTCATATTCTATGTCATTCTGTGGCGAGATTTAAATCCTGTCCAGCCTATAATACCTTTTTTTTTTTGTGGAATTTTGTGGTGAATGTTTGTTCGCAGTAATGTTTACGTTATACATTACTCAAAAGAAATATAGCATTAAAAAGTTATAGACAGAAATGGGCGAAGTTGAAATGAGCCTTACTTCGTAAAAAATCATCGTACGAACATCATGTTTCTTTTAATTTCAAGGATAAGTACTTACTATAAGAAGTCATTGTTGGATTTTTGTTTTGTAACATTCTCGCCATACTATTCCCTTAAAAATGAGGGCGTAATCTTTATAGTAAAAATTGTAGTATTTTAATGGGATCCATAGAATTGACAAAATTTTTTCCACGAAGTTCGTTTATAGGATCATAAAGATTGACTTTTCTCTTCAATTAAAAAAAAACGAAATTATGCATACAATTTTTTCGCAGAGATACACACACTGTAAAGTTATCCTTGCATTTTTATTTTTAGTCTACCGCCGAAGATTTTTTATATAACGTTCATTCATATTTAACCTTTTTTTACTTATAATAATTTGTTTTTATTTATAATTTTTTATGCCATGTTTCTTTTGGGCAATGTATTTTGTCAACAATGTTTGAATTAAAAAAGAAAAATGGAACGTGTCACACAAGTTTAAGTTCTCTTCAAGAATGGAGTAACTAAAATCAGGAGAAAATAATTTAATTTTAAAGTGACATCAATATGACATCTGACTAACACATCTGACGAGATTTTTTTTCTTGTAAAATTTTATCGTGAATGTTTGTTCAAAGTAATATCTTTAAAAGTAATGTGCAACAAGTAACTTCGGATTTTTCAGGTCAAAGAAAACTGTCGCATTTTTATGTCGTTATAATTTTTTGAAACAATGTATGCGAAAGATGGTATAAGATTGAAGATCAAAACGTTGTACATTATATATGTAATACATTATTTCATGAAATTATAACAACATAAAATAATGAAATTTCATTTCATTTGAGTACTAAATTACTTATTATAGGTGTTTAATCGCGCATATATGTTAGCATCTCTGAAAAGGTTGAGCTGTTCATACAAATAGAATGGAGATTCGTTTCTCTGGAGCTTATTCCCGGGAGTTTATCGAGATCCTGAATGAACGCATAAATCAGATGGCGACTATAGGACCCAAGCGCGATTGTCGATTTCAGTGTAATTATAAAACATAATTAAAAAGGTCAGTCGCTACTGAATACACCGGGAAATGAGTCATACATATTTTTCATCGTCAACACATATTGTGAATATATCTATCTCAATCGCAACCGCGATGTGTTAAGTATGTATCACACGAACAGTATTCAACAGTGATTCACGTCGCGCTTTTATCGATAACCCGTTGTGCGACCGAGATTTTTTTATTTTCACGTATAAACATACGAATTATAAAATAGATGACGGACGTCGCGTATGACCGCGCACGAAAGTAACAACGGATCAGCGTGATTACAAAGCTGAAGCACAGACGAGGTACTGTTAAAGACCGTCAGCCAATTTTCGTGACCTCAAAAAGGGTCTGGAGGGGCCCCGAGATAATTGAAGGAGGATGATATTATGGACTATTTTTAGTCATCCGATATTAATGTCTGAATATCTAGAACATAATGTGTATACATTGAGCGAATAAATATATAAGAAATAAAAAATATTTATTCTCTCAGTAGATACTAATAACGCATTTACTTGTACTAATATAAAATAATTTTTAAATAAGAAAATGTTTTCTTCAAACTTTAGCTTTTCATGAAAGTAATTGTTTATTCTATACTATTATTTTCTATTCTATTATATTATTTACTATATATTATTATTTATGTTATTTATATAATTTACATTACTATTTTCTATATTATTATTCTATATTAAGTAAAAGAATTTAGATTTGAGTAAATATGTTATCACACTGAGAAGAAAAATATTTGAAAATTTATTTGTG